CTCCGCGCCTGAGCGCCCGCGGGAGGCAGCCCGGGCTGCGGACCGGCCGCTGCGCCCCGACCTGGAGCTCTGGGCGCAGGGCAGCGCGCACCCCCGCCCTGCTGGCCGCGCACCTGGCCCGTGGAGTGCACTCGCAGGGAGGGGCGTCCTTTGAGACGTGGGGACCTGGCGGGTGGAGGAAGCGGGGTCTGTGCCGGTGTTTGAGGAGCAACCGCACAGCCGTGCTGTGCCCCCTCGCGCCCTCGGCCGCTGCCCACGCCGCCCCGCGTTTCTCCCGCAGCGAAGCGCCTTGGCGGTGGGCGCCGGAGCAGGGCCCACGCGGGGCCGGGGAGCCCAGGGAGCCCGTCGGCCGGGCGGGAGCCGCGCCGCAGCGGGCGCTCTGCGGTCTCGGCTAGGCGGGCCGGGCCGGGCCGGGGTCCAGCTGGGGAGCGGTGGCTCGGCTTCCTGTACTTGCTTAAGAAAACTGCAGCTGTAGTTACAGCACACTACTGCATCTGTGAAGTTTCTAATCATTAGGTTGGATTCATGTCTGATATATTTAAGAGGCTAAAGAAAATATCAAAAAATAATTTGTAAAATTCTGAAAACCAATGAAAGTATTCGAATGCTGGGCTTACATGTCTGTAGGGATCTCAAAACCAGTAGTGTTGTTTTCTGACTACCCAAAACCCACCGAACGGGTCTGAATGAAAGCTTAACCGATGAGGCTCGCTCTGAAAGCGGGTGGCAGAGCACCAGGTGTAAGCAGCTCGGAAAGGTCCCTAAAGCAGTCTCTCCAAGGCCAGAGCCATGCACAGAGAAGCCGGCGGATAGGATTTCTTACTGCCCCTAGTCTGCTCAGACTTGACGTTGTTGGTACTGCATGTTGCCTCTGGTTGGTTCGGGCGTTGGGGGCGGGGGCGGAGGTGGACGGGGACCCGCCTGCGGGCGGTGTGGAGCAAGGAGCCTCAGTCCGCGTCCCCTACCGCCGCCAGGCTGGACTGCGCAGCCCTGGCGCAGCATCACATGCACACAGCTAAAGGTTTCCCGCTACCGCAGCCCACTGCAGTGAGGAGCTGGATTCCTGTCCATTATGCAGGGGTAGTTGAAGAAAATCTGGGAGTCCGCAATGTGTGGCCCAGGAGAAACCACTCTCAACATACGCACGGTGCAGTAATGTCAACGACGCTGAATCAACCTTTGGCAAACGTCGGATGGAGATAACTAGTGCAATTTGGGAAGGTCATCTTTTTTTGCTTCTTGATTAAATTGACTAAAATTTATAAGTAAACTGAAGTGGCTTAGGTAACCTTGAACAGAAACAGGTCTAAGACCACAGACATAGCATAGTAACCAATTGTGCTATGTGGTAACCCTAATTGTGCCTTTTTAACAACAAAAAGCTACTAAATAGCAGTCATGGTTCTCTGAGCTATAACTTTGGCTCCGTTATCATCCTGAGTCTTGGCGCAACCATTTATAAGTTTCAAGTGCACACAGAACCTCATTTATTTCTGTTGGCAGCAAATGCTTAGCTACGAGGCAATAGGATTGTAGCTACTCCTTATATGCATCCATTTCTCTTTTTTTGTCTCAATTACCCTAAGAATATTAACAATGAGCAAACCAAATCTTTGCAAGAATTGAAATTTGGTCCTAGATGTTTTCTGATGTACTTCTGATTTATCATTTTCTTTTCCAAATAACTGCATGTTGTTAACTGCTTTTTTCTGCATGTTTATGTAGTGCCTGATGCATTGTGGAATCAATAAATATTAAATCAGCCCACTGGTCCATTTTGGAAGTTAATTTAGTAGAATCTGTAGCTTTTTTCTTCCAGAAAGAGTTTGTACCTTTTTCATTTTTTGTGTAAAAGTCACAAAATTTAAAATTTAGGGATAGGAATCAAAAACTATAACCATAACCTCTCATACCAAGAAATAAAAACTCATGATAGAAAAGTGTGTATAATTTGTTGTCTTTTTCTGAGGATAAGTTAGCATTGTCACCCAAGAGCAGACAGAGGAGCAGGGCAATAGCCAGGAGAGATTGCTGTCAGATATGTAGGAGGTGACCCTCACACAGCCCTTCTTGTCTTGCGGTTCTTAAACCAAATGGAATAAACACAAGGATCCAAGAGTATGTTAAAATTCTAACTTTATTCAGGGTAAGGTCAGGTGAAAGAACATGGCTGGTCTCAAGGCCAAGACGGCCATCTTCCCCTAACGCACATGCCTACCCAAGGGCCAGGCTCCCCCACAGGCAGGAGAGAACTGGCCCCTACTAAGTCTGACACAGAATCCCAATGCTGTGAGCCAATACTATCCATAGAACACTGAGCTGGAGCCAGCAAGAGAGGGGTCATGTACGAGGAGGGACCTGTAGTCCTCTGCTCTGCCCTTCGGGGCCCAAAGCCTTCCTCTGTCTCCCCCATTACTGTCCTTCCACCTCCCGAAGGTAAGAGTGATGCACTCTGATCTGATAGCAAAAACATCTTCCCCAGGACTTCCTTATCAGCAGCAGGTCATAGCACAGAGTTTGTAATTTGTGGGCCAGGCAGAAACATCAGAAAGGGGAAAACTTTCCCCCCATACGGTATGCAACCAACTGAGGGACAGGGAGAAATTGAAGATGACTCAAATTTTAAGCTAGGATGGAGAAACCATTTCAGAAATGAAGATGACAAACTGTTGCAGACCCGCTGAGATACAACTGTCAGGCTTATCAGTGCAAAAATATCCAGCAAGAGCATAGAAACGTGGTGAAGTTAGAACCAGAAACAGGTGCAGGAGTGATCAACATAGAAAACTGAAGTCATGGAAATGGAGGGAATAACCAAGGAAGAGAAATTACAGAAGGAATTGGGGTCAGAGCTTTGGAGACAGCTTCCATCTGTGAACTGGGAGAAAGCAAAAAGCGTGTGGTGGGGATCACGGGTGCGGAGTCAGCGCAGGCTGGGAAGGGTGCAGAAACCATCGGGGAACTGATCCTTAGGGCCCTTGAGACTAAACCCAGGGGATAATGGGTTGCAGAGGGAATCCGAGAAGTGAAAAAAGGAGAATCACTGTCTACAGTCTTTGCGAAAACATCACTGGGGGGTTAAATTGGCAAGCATTAAAATTAAAGCCTGAGTGAAGGCCATAATGATCCTTTTGTCTGAGATATTGAAATAAATTTCTAAGGCACTCAGGAGACAGTGACAGAGGCAGAATTGGAGAGAGGGGAGGAGCACCGCCCTGGGAATCTGTGTTCAGCAACAGGACCCACACATCTCGGGTCCTTCTTCCTCGGGTGCTTCCTTCTGGCGCAGGGCTGACCGGGAGCCTGAGGAGTAGAGGATGGCTTCCGGCCCGGTCTTCTCTCCCTCAACCCTGGCTACTAGTGTTCAGGCTGGAAGAATGACTTGGAGGGAAATACAAGAAATGCCATGGAATGTAGTCCAGGTCTCCATGCCTCTCACAGACCTTTGTGGACGTAGGTAAATAGGCACTTGGTAGCCAGTGAAGGACATTACAGTGAAATATTACCCCTGAAAACACCAAAGACTCGGTGAGAACAGCTCTAGCAATAAACTATCAGGAAGAAATCACACTGGTTTGGATCAGTGGCCTACGCATATGTATCAAAAGGCAAAGGAGCTGTAGCATCTGGAAAACCCCACCTCATCTACTGTAATCTTAGAATTCTGGTGGTTTCCAGCCTCTAGAATCAAGAAAACCATAATGTGGATGAATTGCTATTCTTTTTTTTTTTAATATTTGAGTTTGGGAGGGAAAAACAGTTGTGGTTTTCAGTAATATCAAATACTATTTTCAGAAAATATACCTGGAGGGGAAGGACTTTGTATTCATTTTACCATAATAAAAATTTTCAAAATAATTTAAATCATCATAACAAAATATTTCAAATAGAGGCATTTCAGATTGTTCTTTCAACATTTTAGAAATTTTAAAGCCCAACTAAGATTTGTTATCCTAAGGATTTGCCAGGCTGCAGAATCCATGATAATGCTGTGAGAAAAATTTTTGTCTATGAGCATTATAGAGTTTTCAAGAAGTCTGCTGAGTTTAGGAGCTTAGTAATATCCACATAATTGATTTCATCTACTGTATAATGCTTTGCCGACAGGTTCTGGGAAGTATTATTCACAACCAAATAGAATTCACCTGTATGGTTTCCACTGATTAGTCATGTGGCAAAATACTGAGTCATTTGGCCAGAAAATTTACTCATAGTTGTATGAACTGCCAGTGGAGAATTTGAGAGCTATTCATAAATCAAATTATAAAGCTCCTAGGGTTATAAATCACTGAGAAGTATTGTTCA